ACTGATTGAGCATTTGGACAAATATCCTTCCTTCAAGGCTCAGCATGAACCTATGCCCATCATGCCTGACCCCAAAACCCCAAAGAATTTCTCCAACCTCAAAAATATTATAGCATTATTTTATAGCAGAGTTTCCCAACCTCACCACTACTGACACTTCAAACTGGATAACTGTCTTTGTGAGGAGTATCCTGTACATTATAGGATGTTTAGCAGCATGTCTGGTCTCTACTTACTAGATGCCAAAAGCAAACCACCTCCTCCCCTGCCAGCTAACTGTAACAACCAGAAATATCCCTTTATCCCCCAGACATTTTTAATTGTTCCTGTTAGGGCAAAATCATCTGTGTTTGAGAATCATTGTTCTGTAGCATTCTTATTTTAGCAGTTAATCCATGTAGGAATATACTTTTTGATATTATATATGCTTTTAAATTAAATTATTGCTGGTTTGCTGTATTTTAATTAATTATTTTTTACGTATCTCTCTTCTTTGAGTAAATAACTGATAGTCATACTGTACTGTTCTTCTTTGTGTTTTCCGATGATTGATTGGTCAGTAACATATGCTATTGGATGACTGATTCATTTTGGCATGGTGCGTAAGAGTGAAATGCCTGTGTCTAAATTCTGGCCCCACCACTCACTGACTGTCGCCTTGGGCAGCTTAGCTCAAATCTCTAGAGATCAGTTTTATCATGTATAAAAAAGAGAGAATACTATCTTCTTCATAAATTCATTGTGAGAATTAAATAAATTAATATACATAAAACACTAAAATAATGTCTGCCCACAGTAAATATGATTCAAATATTACCTATTATAATGTGCATATGACATCAAAGGATGCAACGTAGTGGAATGAGTGATTTTTGTTCCCACAGGAATGTTTTATATGGTTAAAAAAAATTGGAGAATCTATCCAAAAAAATTAAAGGATCACATGCAAAGTAAAGTGTTAGGACCTATAACAAGCAATTTGTCACAACGTAGTGTATGAATGATTGCCAAATGACTGACAAAATACTTGGAATCAGAGAAAATCAAAGTGGAGTGGAATGGAGGGGGAGGAATCACAAAACAGGAAAATTTGACTGGAACTTTGAAAAACAAGCTGTGAAGAGATAAGAAGAGAGTTCAGGAGAGAGAAAGATTCAATCAAAATCTCAAGAGGAGAAAAACCTTGGCATATTCTGGATGGAGTGAGTCTGGCTGGACTTGTGAGTCTGGCTGGAGCAGAATGTTGAAAAGGACCATATGTTGAAAAAATGCTCAACATCACTTAGCATCAGGGAAATGCAAATCAAAACCACAATGAGATACCACCTCACACCTGTCAAAATGGCTAAAATTAACAAGCCAGGAAATGACAGATGTTGGTGAGGATGTGGAGAAAGGGGAACCCTCTTACACTGTGGATAGGAATACAAGTTGGTGCAGCCACTCTAGAAAAAAGTATGGAGGTTCCTCAAAAAGTTGAAAATAGAGATACCCTGCAACTCAGCAATTACACGAGGTATTTACCCCAAAGATACGAATGTAGTGATCCAAAGGGGCACCTGCACCTCAAAGTTTATAGCAGCCATGTCCACAATAGCCAAACTATGGAAAGTGCCCAGATGTCCATGGACAGATGAATTTATAAAGAAGATGTGGTGTAGATATACACTAGAATACTACTTAACCATCAAAAAAAATGAAATCTTGCTCTTTGCAATGACATGGAAGGAACTAGAGGGTATTGTGCCAAGCAAAATAAGTCAGTCAGAGAAAAACAATTACATAATCTCACTCATGTGTGGAATTTAAGAAACAAAACAAAGGATCATATGAGATTGGGGTGGGGGATAAAATACGACAAAATCAGAGAGGGAGACAAACCACAAGAGACTCTTAACCATAGGAAACAAAGTTAGGGTTGCTGGAGGGGAGGCTGGTGGGGGGATGGAGTAACTGGGTGAGGGACATTAAGAAGGACATGTGATGTAACGAGCACTGGGTGTTATATAAGATTGATGAATCACTGAACTCTACTTCTGAAACTAATAATATATGTTAATTAATTGAATTTAAATAATTTAAAAAAGAAAATGACCATGTGTGAGAACAAAGCAAAATTCAAAGTCCATGTTTTGTCTTATGCAATTGACATGCTCATTAGCAATCAAAATCATTCTTAAAATAGTCACAGCCAAGGCCCACAATCCAACATGAAACAGATTTGCAGCATATGTTTCTTTTTCAACAAGAACAAATAATAATTCATGATTGTTGAATATTTTCTGCATACCAGATAGTGTGCTGAGCACCTTACATTCCTTAGTATGCTTGTCTTAAATAAAGTTAATGCCATCCTATGGTAGACCACATTTCACAGATTAAATAATTACTTGAGAATACTATATATATTCAAGTAGAGTATCTCTCCCAATGTCACATGATCAATGTCACAGAAGAGTTTAAAAGCTGTGCTGCAGCTACTGTCTGACATTTTCCATAGGATCTTCTTTCTCTGGCTTTCTCTTTGTAACTTTTTCTGTAGTACATGTCCCTTTATATATCTCAGATCTTGTCATTCTGAGCTTTCTTGTTTTTGCTCTACACTGGACATAGCATTTTTTTAATTGATGCTCTCATTTTTCTTTATAAACGTCTGGTATTGATCAGTATAACATAGCTTCCATCAGCTGCAGCACTTCCTTAATGTCTATAATCACTGCCACTCATTCATATGTTAATTCTAATTTCCAAATTTCTTTGTACTTAAAATATTTTTCATAGAATGTATTAGGATTATATTTTATATTTGTCAACTTTCTGAATAACATAAATCAAAAATAAAAAACTATTTGCTAGCTGCAAAATGAACTGGTTACAACAGTCATGATTACTATACCAATGTACAGTCTCATGTAAAATGGGAAATAAGATTGGAAATGTGAATTGAAATGTTAATTTGACTGTCTAGTTATAGAGGGTGAACTTTACAGCTTTATGGATCTTTAGAAAGTTTTTGAGTGGAGCTGGGAAATGCTAAAATCAATATTTTAGGAAGCTAAATTGGATATACAGGAAATTGGAGGAGAAAAAACTAGCAGGTAAACATCTGGAAGACAATAATCCAGGACTAACTGTAAAGGTCATTTTTAAAAGGTAAAAGTAACTTCATTTGTAGTATATTAGATACTTGGCTTAAGGGAAAGCAGACTATAAGAATTCTACCAAAACATTATTATTAGCACTTTATGGTCATGCTCATAAACTATAGAAGACATACACACACATATTCCATTTCCCTAGTTAACCGAAAACTAGGAAGCTTAATCCCATGGATTCAGCATCAACCTCTACACAGAGGAAATGCCTTCCATCAGGTCCCTTCTCTACTCTCCTTGGAGCTCATAGACCTCTAACTGCCTTTGCTTCTCCTCCTTTAACACACACTCACACACACACACACACACACACACACACTGTCTTTGTGGTGCCATGTTTCATGTAGCTTCTCTCATACTAAGGACAATCACCTATTTATTGAGCACCCACTGCATGGCACCTGCTGTGTCTTTATCATCTCACCAAATCTTCAAAACAAACCTATAGTAGTAAACAATCATCCTTATATGAAGAAGGAAGGAAGGAAGAGATGAGGGCTCAGAGAGATTAAAGGACTTGATGAAGCACCAGAACTGGAATTAAGAGAAATGGGGAAGGTGAAGTCAAAAATAATACTTTTATTTCAGTAACATTTTGCTATTTACAAAACATATTCATATTCCTTATTTCTTTGCATCCTAAAAATAATTCTGTTACCAACAGGAAATGGAGCTTTCAGGGACAATTTCTTAGATAACATTATTTGAAGATGTCAGGCCTACACTTAGGTATGAAGACATCTTTCTCCCAAAATACCAGCTTCCTTGGTGTTCCCTGTAATTGGCAACACCCCTACTTCCCTAAAGAGTATACTGACTCATCCCTTCTTAAGAAACTAATCTTAAATTCTTATCCTCACCACATCTGAAATCACATCTTTGGAAAGATAAGGAGGGACAGAGAAATAACAAAAGCAGTTAAAATTCAATCCATATCCGAGACATTCTTATCCGTTCATGGAGAGAAAACTCATCCATGTTGATGTTAGCCTTTTAAGTAACACAAATATGACTAACCTGGCTTGGTCCTAAATGTGTAAAAGTGGGTCTATCTAAGGAGTGAGATGAGGCCCGTTGACTTGTTTGATTCATGGAGAATGTTTTTATTTATATCCCTCTCCCCACAGAGAACATGCACTAAAGATTTATCTGAAGTGGTCCTCTCAGAGGGTCCAATTTAAAATCCCTTACAAAAGCTTGGCTAAACACCAGTCTATTATCTTCAGATGTAAAACTATCTAGGAAATTCTGAAGAAAAAATTATAACATATTCTTTATCCATCTAATATTTTCAGCTCAGAATATTATTTTTTGTTTCTTTCTGGACTATGTGTATTTAGGGTAAGGGAGGGGAGATACTTTTACTGCAACAAATATGAGGGTGAACGTTTTGAGAATATCAGCACTGGGCTAGCTTTATCTGCAGATAAAAACCTGCACAAAACAGATCATGGTTAATTTTACACCTATTTTACATATATTTCCTTCAGCTCACCAAAATGATTGTCTTCAGAACTTATGTCCATTATTCCTTTACTGTCTTCCCTGAAATTGAGTTCTCTGAATAAATACAAGGGTTGGTTTACAATTAAAAATAATGAGACTCCACAGGGCCAACGTCCTTGCATGCAATAAAAGGGTGTGGGCTAATTATAGGAGCAGAGTTTATTTTTTTTCCCCGTTTTGCTTCACTTTGATTGGTGGATTGGCACTTTAAATAAAGGTTTCTGGTCTTCTCTGAATGAGAAATACAGAGCAAGTCCTAGGCATAGTCCAGAAAAAAATTTAATCTTCTTTTCTTAGAACTGTCTTGATTGGCATCACCAGGCCCTGAGAACACAGTGCATGTCAGCATTGAAGGTAAAATGTGATTTTATGATTTCCATGTGATTCCTATACGTTCTTTTTTTCTATCTCCAGGCATCTTCTTCTATAAAGAGGATTTTTATTTGTCACCAGAAGCTGAATAATACTTTATTGTAAACCATTAGCATGTTCCAGAGAAGACATGCCTAATACCCTACCAGCTAAAGAAAAGAAGACTAATCTGTGGACTTTTTTATTATTATTTGTGATTATTAGTAACAGTACCTAATTTAGAAAGGTATTAAAAGACGAGCAAATCTCTTGACTAGTCAGATTTCTGTTCATGTAAGAGTAAAGAGGCTTTTCAAGTTATGGAATAAACTTAAAGAGATAATTCATTTTAGAAAGAGGAACACTTGGGGCACCTGAGTGGCTCGGTCGGTTCAGCATCTGCCTTAGGCTCAGGTCATGATCTTGGGTTCTGGGATCAAGCCCTGCATCAAGCTGTCTGCTCAGCCACGAGCCTGCCTCTTCCTTTCCCTCTGTCTCTCCCCTTCTTGTTCTCTCTCTCTCTCTCTCAAGTACATAAAATCTTTTTTTAAAAAATTTAAAAATTTAAAATACAAAGACAGAAGAAAACTCAGTTTTGAGACATATTTCCCACTAATACTAAAGACAATTAAAATATTCAGTTCATTCTTATTTTTAAAAATGTAGTCATTTGAGCATGTTTATCTGGGTAACTGAAACCTAGAATCATATACTCCAATATACCTGCAAATAAAGGTTTGCTATAAAATAATTGTTGGTTGTATTATATTTCAAAATTTACTCTGAGAGAAAGTAATGTGAATGATATTTAATAGACCAAACTTTTACATATTGGAAAGGATTTTCAAATTCATAGTTCATTTACAAAACGTAATACAACATTTAAAGACCACAGCACAGAAGCTGTTCCTACATGTTCATTTAGGTTGTGGCTCCATTGGAAAAAAAAAAGTACTTAGATGTTTTTTAATTGTCAATTCATTCCAAAAACTAGTAAATACAAATAAGTTGTTTTGAAACATTTAGTTGTGTTTTGTTTTTGCTCTTTGAAACTGATCGTTTGCAAGAACAGAGATGTGGCTCATTTGAAATATTGTCTTTTAGCTGTTCTGAAATAAAAATTGATCTTATTTAATTCTCCAACCTAATTCTGTTTCAGATCCCACTTTTCAAGATGAAGGACCTAGTACTGATCTTATGTCTCCTGAAAATGAGTTCTGCAGTGCCGGTAAGTCAGAGTTTTGTAGATTGTACCCTAAAAGAGACATTGTTTGATACTGAACAATACTGAAGGATATAGGCTGAAGTCCATGCATGGACTCATTTTGAATTGATCCAGCGGTAGACTTCCTACTGAGTCAAAGGTAATAGTCACCTAGAAATCAGTCTTACTATCCAAAAGCAACAAGTCAAATATATAACTTTTCTATTCAAAAAGATATTAAAGTATTCCAAAGGCAATTTTGCAGCCTTATTCCATCATTCAAGGATAAAGGACTTATGTGGCCTCCACAACATCATGACACAATTTTATTATCAACTACTTGTGACCTTTATGTAATTGAAATGGAGAAGTTTCTCCACAAAGGTTAAGTACATTTTCTTCATTTTAAGAAGAATATTTAGCCAAGTTATGATGATTATAAAACAGAGCTAAGTAATTCCATTTGAAGACAGTAACTAACCAACAGATTTGCCTGATCAGAAGAGATTATGTGGCTGAGAGCTGAAGTTTCTTAAATCAAAACATGCCATGGCAATGGGGCTAATTCTATGTTATAGGCCTACACGGTTCACTCCATCACATATTGACATGATCTCATATGAATACAATCCTCAAAATACTGTACTCCAGCCAATAAGCTATGTTTCTCTTTCCATGAAGATTTTATTCAGCTGCTATGTGCATTTGGCAAATATGCCTTAGCACCTGCCACGTATCCAGCGATGTGCTGGGCATTGGGGACATGAAGGTAAATATGACATGGTCTCTTGTCTAGAGGAACTCATAGTTTAGACCCAAACAAACTTTAAAATACTTCCCTGAGAAAAAAAGTTTAGCTTACTTGGGTTTTTTAAAGTTAAATGTTTCGGAGGAGGGGAGGAAACTGATTACAAGGATAAAAATCTCAATTCTACAAATAAGAAGAGTTCTATTCCATTACTCAACATGAACTTCAAGTGAAAGAGAAACTGAAGTGGCCACCCTCGCTTACCTTTGTATGATACTGACATTGGGGTCAGCCTCAGCCATCCACTATCTAATACTTTGACACTCTTGGAACCTATGCTAGTCCACGCCTGTGTCAGTCAGGTCCACCCTGAGGAATACAATTGCTTAGGATTGCCACCTGACTGCTTGTCAAATTAAATGTTCTTCTCCTTTTACTTCTTTGTTGGAAATGTATCCTCTGTCCATTTACATTCATGTAAATATTGTTTATTTTTTTATAAATTTATTATTGGTGTTCAATTTGCCAACATACAGAATAACACCCAGTGCTCATCCCGTCAAGTGCCCCCCTCAGTGCCCGTCACCCATTCACCCCCACCCCCCGCCCTCCCCCCCCCACCACCCCTAGTTCGTTTCCCAGAGTTAGGAGTCTTTATGTTCTGTCTCCCTTTCTGATATTTCCCACACATTTCTTCTCCCTTCCCTTCTATTCCCTTTCACTATTATTCATATTCCCCAAATGAATGAGAACATATAATGTTTGTCCTTCTCTGATTGACTCACTTCACTCAGCATAATACCCTCCAGTTCCATCCACGTCGAAGCAAATGGTGGGTATTTGTCATTTCTAATGGCTGAGGAATATTCCATTGTGTACATAGACCACATCTTCTTTATCCATTCATCCAAGATATATATATTTAAAAATATAAAAAACATTCTAGCATCAAGTATTCCTATACTTGATATATATATATATATATATATATCTTGGGGCAGCCCTGGTGGCTCAGCGGTTTAGCGCCGCCTGCAGCCCCGGGCGTTATCCTGGAGACCCTGGATCGAGTCCCACATCAGGCTCCCTGCATGGAACCTGCTTCTCCCTCTGCCTGTGTCTCTGCCTCATTCTCTCTCAGTGTCTCTATGAATAAATAAATAAAATCTTTTGGATACGATCCAAAAAATATAAACATAGAGCAATAAGCTTATACATAAAATAATCTTTCACAAAAGATGACAGAGCCCCCTGACTAGATGGCAAGTTAAGGTTTTGGATTTGGTTTTGCTGAATGCCATGATCCCATGCCACATTCCATTAATTAGAAGCATGTAGATTTGCCAAAAGCACAAGAAAATTGAGGTTAAGTTTGTCCCTTTTGCTTCTCCATGGGATAATTTTTAGGATACAAAGTACTCTTGGTTTTCTATTTTGTAGCTTGATTTTACTTCTTGTTTTTGATGTAACCTCCAACAAAATCAAATTTCTCTGCATTAAGATACAACAGGTAGATGGTTCATGTGGAAGCAAAATTATTAAATATGATGTTAATTCCCCAATTAATTAAATTCTTCTTTCTTCTGCTTAAAAGCTCAAGTCAAAAGCCTTCAGCTGGTCTTTATGCCCTGGGTTAGCTTTTTATTTCCAGTGTACGTTTAAGGAAGTTCTACCAGAGATCTCAGAATTATTCTTATTTCCTTCTAGGTGTTTCCTCAGCAACCTGGGACACCAGGCATGGCTAGTTTAAGCCTGGAGGTAGGTACTGTCAAAGTATTTACATATAATTTTTACATTTATATGGACCTAGTGAGAGAGAAATACCAGGGGCTGGTTCTGTTTTCCCAGCCAGAAGTCAGGGGCAATCTAGAGAAGCACCAGAGAAGTGTTATGACATTTATTAGAGCCTCATCTTTCATTTTACTGCAATTTTAAACTCTCAGATATTTTAGGCTTTAGAATGTCATCTGTGTGTGAATCAGATCAATACTTATATTTAATACCTAATATAAATTATATTTACATAATATAATTACTACATTAATTAAAACATATTGTTCTGAAGCCACAAATGGTTTATATCTAATTCTATCACCTTATAGTATCTTATATGACAATGTTCCCATAAAGAAAATTTACCTTACAAAATGTAGTTGTTTATAAGAACTACTGTAAATAACATTAGCTTTGGTCTGTGGTACCTGTTTCATACCTTGTGTCTATCTTCCTGCAGTTCTCATAACTAATAACACTGTTTAGAAAATCTCAGCACAATAGAAATATTCGACCAGGTGAATAGAAAATATTGAGTTATGAGTAGAAAAATATTCATGAGATTATAAATTTTTCATAAGACCTTGCAAAGTGTTGTTTATATGATGACAATGTAGGGGAATCAATACTTACATAGGCTAGAAGCTGATTTCAAATGGAAGCTAATTTCACTGAGTTATTTTTTCTCACTTTCTAGATTAAAATCAACTCAAAGCACTCTAAACCTCTTCCCATAAAATTGAAATTGACTTTTTGTTGAATTGGCAGCATTCTTGACCATTTATGCAGATTCCATCATTTTCCCCAATGTTTTTTATATTCATTATTTTGAGGCCTTTTTTATTTGGAAAGGAGGTAAGGTTTATACTGTCTTGTCTTGTCTTGTTTTGTTTCCCTGTTTGGCTGCTAGATTTATAAAAGGCAAAGTAAGTTAAGTTAGGGTGGAGGGAGAGTCAATGAAATAATATTCTCACAATCAAATTTCAGTTTCCATTGCGTGAGCTATTTTCCAATGTTTCAATGTGACCTCCTAATTTGATTAATGATTAATAAATCAAGTTCACTAACTTAGTAGCAATAACAACAATGGCACAACCACATTTAACATTTCCACTTTTCAGTAATGATTTGTGCTTATTTTTATTCAAACTGACACACCACAAACTTTGTGCTAATAATACCACATGTTGAGATAACAGTTGTATCATACAGAAAAGGAATATTTGTGGCAAACATTAACACACTTTTTTTCTTTTAACAGACAATGAGACAGTTGGGAAGTTTGCAGGGATTAAACATGCTTTCTCAGGTAACCATAGTTTCAAATATTTCTTATTGCAAGAATTAATGGTGGTGATGGTAGTGATATTAATAGCAACATAAAAATTCATAACATACGTTAGTGAATAGACATTATCCCAAATATTGGAAGAAAAAATGAATAATTGAAATAACCTAAAACAAAATAAGATCCTGGGATGGGATGGTAGGTAAAGCAATATTGAATTTTCTTGAGTAAAAAAAAAAAATCCTATTTTGTACCATCAATTTTATTAAACAGCCCAAATATGAGAGCTTATAAAGCTAAATCTCAAGTAGGTTTATGGGAATATTCCAGTTGACTCAGAATGGAAAGTAAGTGTTGGAAGAAAGTATTTACCCATCCATATTAAATTCACCAATGTCACACTTACTTTTGCTATCTCTACACTTTCTATGGATATTTAGAAGATGAAAACTAAGCCAATCCTGAAATATAAGCATGCTTTTTTTCCCCTGCATGTCTTTAGTATTCAAGATTTGGTTTTGGAAAATCATTTAATTCTTTGTGGATGCATGGTCTCCTCCCACCGCATTCTTCTTTCCCATGGATGAGACCAAGGGAACATGAAACTCAACAGGTAAGTTAATTGTATCAATGTGCTTGAAACTCCAAGCTTAAAACTATTCCCCTATTTGCCTTCTCTAAATTGTCATAAACTAGCTACAGACCAATAATAATAATGAACAAAAAATTATCCAAATATTAACCAATCAAAACTTATCATTGTTTTTAGTACTTAGGAAAATTTAAAATAAAGTAGTCCAAACTTTTGACCTATTTATATATTCATTTCACATAGGAAGATATGGTCTCCAAAAATGAGACTTATGTTAATGACACGAGCAACAGCAATAGGTAAAGTACCTTCAAGATGGAAACAGACTATGCCCTGAACAATCCTCATTTTGGTCAGGATTCCCAAAATAATTTTTCAAAGGCATGTTTAAAATGATGCCAAAGCCCTGGCCAAAATATCTTGAACCCTACAACAATCAACAAATACATCAATCAGTTAACCATTATTTATTAGTTGTCTAATAAATGCATAAGCCAATTGGTAGGTTGGGAGTGAAAGTGAAAACATTCAATTATTCAATAACGGTTCCAAGGTTCTGATTGGGAGATATGATAAGACAACATATTACAAGGTACTACATTGTGAGGTATAGAAAATAAAAGCCACAGGAGTTTAGAGATGCACAGTAGTTGAAGAGGCAAAGCAGAGCCAGATTATTGTGAGACTTCCATACCACGTTGAGGAGCTTGAAAATGACTTAAAAATAACAGGGAGCCATTTACCACACTTAATTTCAAAAAGGAGCAAATAAACATGGTTGTTTTAACAGGAATCTTTGATTCCAGGTGGCCTTCCACGACAAGTAGCATTACTCACCAAGCCACATTTAGTGGAACAATAAAGTATGTAAAAAGTGACTGTTTCTCCACTTGATTGTTTCCAAAATGGACTCCACAATGCAGGAATTTGATTAGTATTTTACTTAATGATCCTTCCCCTTTCATTAACTCAAAAAAATATATTATTTATCATGTGCCAGGCACTTGTTAGGAACCATGTTAAGTCCTAGGGCTATAAAGACAAATAAGACATTTGTCAGTGGACTGGGGGCAAAGATATATAACAAAGTATTGTAATCCAATGAGAGTGGTAGAATAGACATATCCAAGGAAACTCAGGGGAGGAAATGACCATTCTATCAAGAAGTCCAATAGCTTTCCATATTCTGGAGCACAGATAGTCCCAAAGGAAGTAAGGGAGACACACCAGACTGCCCCAAATAACACTGACTGTTATTGGTGTAATAAATTGCATAAATTGGTGCTTCCTACAACTTCAAGACAATTCCCTCAGACTCTCTTGAGAGTAGAAAGTTCCTCAAGTCCTTTTGCTCTAGAAATTCTAGAGACCATAGTTCAGTGAGCTATCGCTTCCTGACAGTCCTTTCAAATTTCTCTGCAGTATGAATATTCTTTGCCTGTGCATCCCCCACCTCTCCCATCGCAGCCATCCCTGCAGCCCCAACAGCCAGGACAGAAGCCCTTCCTCCAGTCTGCTATTGTAACTGACATCCAGGACACCGCCCAGAAGGGGGGACCTCAGCCTCCAGTTTACCAAGGACAACCGCCCTTGCAGCAAACAGAGGGGCCAATGCTTGAACAGCAGGTGGCACCATCAGATAAGCCACCAAAGGCGGAGGTAATTCTCTGAAGTCAAATTGGTATTACCCACTAACTCAATGAAGGAAAACTGATTTGCAGAGCACATTTAAATAATCAGAACTCTCAGGCTAATATATGACAATACAAATATGTTTTCGGAGTTGACATGTCTGGGAGTAGAATATAAATATCCATTCCTGTCCTTTGCCATCAGAGCTAAGGCATGGATTCTAAAAATCCTGTGCCTGTAAAATTTAGTTTCTTAGTTGCAAAAAGATGCAAGCTTTCAGAGGAAATAGGACAGTCCAGAGAAGTCCATGGCTTCCTATCAAGATCTTTTTCAGTGCTGGAAGGATTGAGAAGAGCGATTGAGCCCACAGCACTGCATGTAGTATTTTGGATTATTATTTCTCTGTCTGATAGAGAGAAGACAATCATGTAATAATGTAAAGAAAAGAGCAGTGGAAGAAAAGGAAGGTACCATTTAACCAATATGTTACAGGCATTTAACATTACACCATATCATCCTGATTACATTCCTATAAAGACAGATATCATCATCCTTTTTAAAAAGAAGACAAGTTATAAAGACTTCGACAGGTTATAAATTTTGCTGGTATTAAGAAAAAGTAAAGTGATAGAGTCAGGACTCAAAACCTGGCATGCTCTGATTCCAAAACTAATTACTTCCTACTCTGCGAAACCAAGCAAGTTCGGGGTAAACATGCCTCATCTCCCTGCCCGTGCATTTGAGACAAGCCAGTGAAAGGCAATTGTTATCTCTTGGGTGTATTGCTCAAGACTAAATGAAAGTGAAAATCAGGAAACTCATTTTAAATTGTTTTATCATAGTCATAAATAAGGTAGGAGTGTGCCCAGTTCTATTTTTATGGTTTAGTAATTTTAATGTTTATCTGTAATGCAGCTACCAGGAATGGATTTTGCTGAACCACAAGGTCCATCAGTAAGTATAGATTTCAGTGAGATACTTTCTTGGGAGAAATATCTATACTTCAAGAAAAAAGAGTGAAAAACTTTCATTGCCCCATTTATCCATGAATAATGAAATATAATGGTTTCTTTTGTTTTCTTAAATATCAAATACTTATTTGTTATTCTAATCCACCTGAAAAGGCATTTCCTATAACTCTTAGAAATGGCTGTTATGGGAGGTTTGCCTATGTCATTGCAAAAATGAATTACTAATTCTATTTTCAACCACTTCCAGGTGTTCCAAATAGCTCGTTTGATATCTCGGGGACCAATGCCACAAAATAAACCATCTCCGGTAAGTTTTTAAAAATATGTTTCTACCTACAATTTACTTAAAAATTTTTTTTAAATAATGATTGTCATATTTATATTTAGCTTTATCCAGGAATATTTTACATGTCCTATGGAGCAAATCAATTGGTAAGTCTGTATCCTACAGAAAGTATCATTTTAAATTAAATGTTATCTTAAGAGCTAAAGTTATAAAATCTAGGCCTCACACAAAAGAGTTCATATTCTCTGAATGCCGAAGTTGGTGACTGAAATAGCAAGGAAGCACACTTTCTATTTGAATAACTCTGGCCAGACGCACACACACACACACACACACACACAACGACATTTTTTTAAAAGGTACATTTTCTTTCTGGATTATCCAAATTGGCTACATTTACTCAATAATGACTCATCTCTCTACTTTATTCTGATTCTGGGCACAGCATTAATATTAAGGCTTTAGGAAAAACTAAGTGACTTTTAGCATTGTCTTGAGTAGCTAATAGGATGATAGGAATCTTCTGTAATAAGATGCACTGTTCCTTTTTGAACAGAACGCTCCTGGCAGACTTGGCATCATGAGCTCAGAAGAAATGGCTGTGAGTAATGTCTTCCAACTTTTCCTAAAATAGTGGTCCTGGGAGAACAGTCACAGATGACTTGCTGCAAGAAGCATTGGCCATGAAAGTCATTGAATACATTGCGCAGAACTCAGATTATTCTATTGCAAAACCAAAAACTTCATTCTTCCACAAAGTGCAAAGACTTCCCCATGTTTCCCATAGTCATTTCTGAGAGTGACCATTCTAGAACATAGGATTTTGTTCCATTTCTTGAATATGAGCAGAAGAGAAACCTCTCTTGAAAAGCCATTATCATTTGAATAGCAAATGCTTCAAACCAAAAAAGATACATGTGATTAGTACAGAGTTCCCACTTCTTCTAGAGCAATTAACCCCTCAAAACAACAAATTCAACAGTGTTGCAAATAATTTTGACCTCAAAATTGAGATATCAAAAAGAAAAAGAGCAAGTTTATATATTATGTCGTGCTTACCACAAGTGTAACCACCATCTGTCACCATACAACACTATTGCAATATTGTATGCATCAAACCAGTGTGACATTACGTATCACTGAAAGAAAACTCGCATCCCAACATTCTTGAGTGCCTTCTGTGAACTAGATGCATAGAAAGACACTACAGAGGCAAGATAAATTAGACAAGATTTCCGTTTTCCAGGAGTTTACTGTCTTATCAATGGAAAAGATAGATACAAAGGCAGATAGTGTTAAAATTATATGATAATGAGCAACAGAGCTATGAGAGAGGAAAAGGGGAGAGGCAGTTAGCTCAGCCCAGGGGTTCATAGTTCATCCCTTGAGGAGATGATGCGAGGAGGGGAGATTGAGAGAGTAGAGCTAAGGAAAGGTAGGAGAAAAGAATATTGTATCCACGTACCACCAACACAACTGGCTGAAAATTCAAGAAAGTGTTAATTATCATCTTAACATTTTAATGAATATATTTATACTCTGCCTCTTGCTCAAAAGATTTTGCTTATGAAAAACTCACAATAAAAGTAACCAAAAAATTGAAGATATAATTTAAAATGAGTTAAAAGTGTAAAAGATTCATTAATTAAATGAAATTACAAATATGCAAGTTACAAAACTGCACAATCTCTGTAAATAGCCCAAGATATTGGGTTGGACATTTTTAACAGCAAAGGCAGGAAAAGGAAACATGAACAATTCTACAATTCTGTCTACAGGAAGAAAATATTTCCATTCTTCCAGAGAAATCAAGCTTCTTTTTCTTACACATGTTCCGAAAGAAAGAAAGAAAGAAAGAAAGAAAGAAAGAAAGAAAGAAAGAAAGAGGAAGTGTTATGTGAGGCTTCATTCATTTGAGAAATGATGTTGATATAATTCTCTAAAAATAACCCTCAACAAACTCAGCCATGGGATCTGTTTTTGTTTGTTTTTTTTAGGATGGTATTGCCTATTTTGGCTGCTTATTGTTTTCTTAAATATAATTCAAACGACCTTTGCCCATAGCCTTTGTTCTGCCCTGTGTCCCCACTTCTGACATTCCTACGTTGTCAGCCAGACACGGCAAAGGGTCTCCATCTGTCTTTCACAGAAGTGAGCATCCAGAGAAGTCAGCATCCCCTCCTTTATGTCAAAGCCAGTTTAGTAAGAAACGTGCTTACACAAAGCTATCGGCCAACAAATTGTTCCCTATCAGTTTTTTATGATTTCTTGGTGAATCTGACCAATTATGATTGCATGGTATACTTAATAATGTGTGATAACCCTATCTTTGGTCAATGGTTTTTTTCCAGGGAGGCAGAGGAAGCCCCATGGCCTATGGAGCCATGTTCCCAGGATTTGGAGGCATGAGGCCTAACCTTGGAGGGATGCCCCACAATCCAGGCATGGGCAGGGACTTTACTCTGGAATTTGACTCCCCAGTCGCGGGAACCAAAGGCCCTGAGAAGGGAGAAGGAGGGGCACAAGGCTCCCCCATGCCCGATGTCAACCCAGCCAATCCAGAAAACCCGGCTCTCCTTACCGAGGTAGCACCTGGTGCCCTAGGAGGGCTTCTTGCTCATCCAAAGGACAATGATCCCAGCCTGGCAAGAGGCCCTGCAGGGCAGAGCGGAGGACCCCCCAGGGTCACCCCGGCAGACGCTGACCCACTGATGACCCCTGAATTAGCTGATATTTATGAGACCTACGGTGCTGATGTGACTACACCCCTGGAAGAAACGCCCACGGATACCACAGTGATCCCAGACACTCAGCAAACATTGATGCCAGAAAACAAGGCCCAGCAGCCCCAGATTATGCATGACGGGTGGCATTTCCAAGAGCCCTGAGAACCTTAAGATTATCAGCTACCTTCTGTATGCACAGGCTCCCCAGCTTTGTCCCCATAGTATATCTTTTTGTTAACACACTTCCTATCCTTCTGCACCAAAGGCATTAAAAATGCTAAGCATATATTAATAAATACAAGTGGCTAGAAATAGTGTAGGTCCCCTTCTTGCTTTCATTCTCTTTTTGAAATAAAATGTGTCGACCGTCTCTGTGATTTAGAAATACTATTAATAACATCAGAGCAAGTCTAAGGGCCTCTGCATTGGAAAATCACTGTCTCTCAGCTATCCTAGGCCTTACGGAATTTCTCTAACTAGCATGATACTGTTATATCCAAGAAATGTGACATTGCTTTGGAAATGTTTCCCTAAGCAGAGGCACATATTCTAAGAATGATGAGATAATATCATTCAAACATTATGAAACAGGGATTGATGAGCAACCCCTGACTGGTATTACTGAGTTTGGTATATTGGATTTAAAATTCTCATTTGTAGAATATTTTATTTAATCTACTAAAAACACTTAGCCTATTTTAAATAAAGAATTTTTCTCATTGAAAATATCAGGAATTATATGTTTATTATTTACATATGTTCAAATAGTTAAGAAAGGCATACTCATTCCCTACCCTTCCTACTCTTTAGCCCATTTTATTTAATTTGTTCATTCTTTCATGGAAAGTTTATGGAGTCTCTACCAATGTCCTTGGCACTGGCCAGGCAACAGGGACACAGTCCCTTCCCTCAGAGCTTACAATGGGGACTTTTGATAAGTAGACAGCCAGCCACGATTTGTTTTATAAAAACAGCCACTTTGGGCCAACTCAAATACTTTACATATATTATCTCACAACAGCACTGCAAAATAGATACTCCCAAACCCACAGTACATGTGAAAAGTGCTATGAAAATGCCAAGCCTAGAGTGCCCCTGAGGCCACAGAAGAGTCACTTCACCCAGCCTAAGAGGCACCGGAGGGCCTGGGAGCAATCAGATGAGTTTTCTCAGAACAGTATTGAAAGCATTTGCAGAGCAAGGCCTCCAAGAGTAAGAAACCCAAGAAGAGTCAAGTGGGTGCCACATGAGAATTAGCTCATTCCTGTGAACTACACTGTGGCAAAAAAAAAGGAACCAGAAAGTGGTTGTTATTTGTCACCAAAGCTAGGTATGTGTCAGTCAGAATTATTCACCTATATTAAGAGGTTCTGAGACCAGGTCTGGTCATCTGTGGAAAATAGCCTTCTGCCCCATTCTGTCCACCTCCTTCCCAGTTGCCTAACCAGGTCTTAGACTCAATGGAACTCAGACTCCCCTCCATCCCCCGTGGAGATTCTGCGGATGCAGCCCAGGAAAGGAGCTCTGATGCCTCCAGACCTTGGGTACTTCAGGAGTCTTAGCAGGAACATACAGCTACTCCCTATTGTCTGCCTCTTTTCAGGCAGAGCTCTGCTCACCTCCACTCTGAGGCTAGAGCCAAAGGAGACCTGTAGGAGATTGAAATTCAGTGTATGTCCTGTAGCAGCTCTGACAGAAGTGCAAGGGTAGGAAAATGAGTTCCACAGTAGCCAGCAGATGCCCATTGAGACCCACCTTAGCAAGCCAGTCTCCTACTATGCGGTATGGTAAATGACAGATCTAGGTCCAGCCTTGATCTGTGAGCCTTTGGAAGTGAGACTTAATCTCTCTGATCCTGTTTTTCATTTCTATAGTAGAGCTACAACCCAACCCACCTCCCAAGGTTGTTGTGGAAACTTTATGATGTAAAGTCCTCAGAGAAAATCACTGAGTCCCAGCAGTTTTTTCCTTTTCCTACTGATCCTTTTTATAAAGAGAATCCAGCAAAACAGCGGCAATGGGAAGAGAATGGAATTGTTCCCATTACCTGGTGAATTGGGCTCTCCCATTTACCCTCCACACACTGCCTTTTGGCTTCTTCTTTACAGTTCAAAGCATGCGTTTGTGAGATCACATATGCTGGCTTCCCTGGTGAGTGTTGTCCTAGCAAGGGCTCAGAGGTGGCTCCCCTACTGGCAGACTAGGAGTGTTAATGAACGGTGTTAACTGGTAGATCAACTTTGACAAGGGGGGTTACTGTGCTGTTGGGCCCTTGAATAACCTCTCTCCTTGTCACCATGACCACCTCAAATACTGGTCCAGTGAGCGAACACCAAGGTGGCCAGGGAAAGAGGCAAATGTCACCCACAGGAAGAGCCATCTTAATTATTTAGAATTCCTTCACCATGGTTTCCCTCTATCGGGCATTCACATGAGAAAAAAATACCTTCATAGTGTGTCCTATGCAGACAGGCTCCGTTCTAGACCTTCTTATTACAGATTTTCCAATTTTATCCTTTTTAAGCCCCAAACCAGCTGACCAATCTGGTACTGACACTGAGTCAGTATAAATCTGTATCTCAGGCCATCTCTCCTTCCAAACAAAATAGACAACCAGACATACCTTTTTCAATGTCCTGCCCACTGAGCTGGGTCGTGGTGCCCTGGCTGTGCACTTCCAGCTGATGCTAGAATCCCATACAGAAATCCAACCCAGGGTCACATTCTTTCCTCTCTATTAACTGATCATTGATGGGGCAGCCATCAAACTAATTTCCAAACTGGGACACTTTTGACAATGAAAAGTGTTATCATAAATGATAAATGAATATTGATAGCGGGTATAAACCACCTAGGGCAAATCAGGACATCTGTTTTATGGTCTTTATTTTATTTTTGGTTTTAGTGTTATATGGAACTCCCCGTGAAGCTAAAGGTGTGCACTGAGGGAAAGGCATCAAAGTTATAAAGAGGAAGTGCATGGAAGTCTGAACCACTTGCTTGTGCAATTCACTTGAGCCCTCCAGGTCTACTGAAACCCAGTGTCATATATATCATCTCCATTCACAGTGGAATGCTGCTCTTTATATTCAGTTTTACGGTTTCAAAGGATCATACATCACCGAGTTCAAGATAGGCAACTCAGCATAATTACTTGGCACCATATAATCAGGCACATCCTCTCAGGGTCCAGTAGCAAGGCAAGAACTTCTTTTCACAAAAAAAAATCTCTAAAGTTCTGTGCTATTATTCTTCCATCAGGGCTTGCCAGAGGTTCCCTACACTCACTGATACTTCCTATACTTTAGGTCCCTGAGCCATAATGCCCAAGTGACAGGGAAGTTTATGCTACAGCATGGACCCCTTTCTTGCCCTAAATTCTACTCAAAACTGGCAGCCTTTCAAGTTACGCAGCGATATGTGTTATCTTCAAAAGACAAAGAAGTCCACCAAGCACTGTGCTTCTCTTTTCTTGTAGGGCGGTGGAAGCTGCCACAGCTTGCCGTTCACTTTAGCTATCCTGACGTGCCCCCGGCCACCAGACCTCTAGAAATGTCAGCATCCCCGTGAAGTGGTGCAGTCTGTATCTTCCACCTGCGGGCTTGCTATTTATGCTCCCCGAAGCCTATGCACTGTGCCTTCAATGCACTAGACTGGTGTGGTTTCTGATGGGATATGAAGCTGCTCTAGCGCCCTTAGGATTGTATCATGATACAGTGTAGGAAAGCTGACATTGTCCCGGGGCGAGACCGTAAAAGTCTATATTGTCTCTGCTTTTTTTTTCTTTTGCTTTGTAAGTGTATACATTTCTTTTTTAGTGTAAATTCAATTAAATGAAAAAAGAAATGGGGCAGCCGGGGTGGCTCAGCGGTTTAGCGCCGCCTTCAGCCCAGGGCCTGATCCTGGAGACCCGGGATCGAGTCCCACATCAGGCTCCCTGCAGGAAGCCTGCTTCTCCCAATGCCTGTGTCTCTGCCTCTCTCTGTCTTTCTGTGTCTCTCATGAATAAATAAAATCCTTAAAATAAATAAATAAATTCAATTAATTAATGTATTAATTGATTTCAGAGGTATTATTAATTTTAGAGTAGTGTTCAGTGATTCATCAGTCTTGTGTAATACCAAGCGCTCATTACATCAGGTGCCTTCCTTAATACGCACCACTCAGTTACCCCATCCCCTCACCCCTCTCCTCTCCAGCAACCCTCAGCTTGTTTCCTATGATTGAGTTTGTCTCCCTCTCTGATTTTGTTTTGCCTTATTCTTCCCTCCTTTCCCCCATGATCCTCTGTTTTATCTCTTAAATTCCACACATGAGTGAGACCATATCATGATTGTCTTTCTCGAATTTACTTATTTTGCTTAGCATAATACCCTCTACTTCCATCCACATCATTGCAAATAGCAAGATTTCAGGATGCCTGGGTGGCTCAGTGGTTGAGCCCCTGCCTTCAGGTCAGGGCATGATCCGGGAGTTCTGGGATTGAGTCCCACATCAGGCTTCCCACAGGGAGCTTACTTCTCCCTCTGCCTATGTCTCTGCCGCTCTCTCTGTGTCTTTCATGAATAAATAAATAAAAATCTAAAAAAAAAAAGGGCAAGATTTCACTTTTTGATGGCTGAGTAGCATCCCATTATGTGTGTGTGATATACCACATCTTCTTTATCCATTCATCTGTCCATGGACATCTGAGCTCTTTCCATAGTTTGGCTATTGTGGACATTGCTACTATAAACATTGGGGTGCAGGTGCCCCTTCAGATCACTACATTTGTATCTTTGGGGTAAATGCCAAGTAGTGCAATTGCTGGGTCATAGGGTAGCTCTATTTTCAACTTTTTGAGGAAATTCCATTGTTTTCCAGAGTGGCTGCACCAGCTTGCATTCTCACCCACAGTGTAAGAGAATTCCCCTCTCTCTTGTTGGCATCCTTACCAACATCTGTCATTTCCTGATTTGTTAATTTTAGCCATTCTGACAGGTGTGAAGTGGTATTTCATTGTGGCTTTGATTTTTATTTCCCTAAGGCCAAGTGTTGTTGAGCATTTTTTCATATGTCTGTTGGCCATTTGTAGGTTTTCTTTGGAGAGATGTCTGTTCATGACTTCTGCCCATTTCTTGATTGGATTATTTGTTCTTTGGGTGTTGAGTTTCATAATTTCT